GTACTCACCCTTCTTCATTTTCAGGTGAATCCCTTCACGCATGAACCACCTGGCGTAGCGCGCTCGCACTGCAGCCTTGAAGCACTGGTTGGTGGAGACATCCAGGGGTTGAATCTGGCTCGTGCAACCTGCTGGGATTACTGCAGGGGTGGTGCTATGCTTCCGGTACGCTTGGAGCATGCCCTGGGTGATGTGACCTCGGTAGGAGTCCAACACCAGCATCGCACGCTTCGCGTTCTGGCCGTGCTGGGGGTTCAGATGGGGCAGCACCTCCCTGGTCAGCCAGGTGTGCACATCGCTCTCGTCCATCCACCCGTTATCGCGTCCTTGGACCACGAGTCCTACTAGGTACAAAGGGGAGAGAGGGGCGTCAGCCAAGAAGGGCCAGGTCAACACTCTTGGAAACCCGAATTCGCCTAGCTTACCTGCCCGAATCTCACAATTCGGCACGTTCAGCTTGAACCAAACCCACGGCCGTGCACGCGAGCATCACTGTCAATCACGTCTTCTCGTATCGTGCCGTGCGGATTGGGACCGAGCACGTGCCACGGTGATCAATCGTCCTCTCGGCCGGCATCTCAACGAAGAGAGGTGTCTGGTCCGCGTTGATTATGCGGGCCGGGCCGAACTGTTTTCATCGGTGAGCACCACACGGGTACGCTTAGCCTTGCTTTATAGGCGATGACCGAGCTTCCTCTTCAGTAGAGGAACTTCGTCGTTGGTGCAGTGCCACGGGTCGTCGTCGGTGTCTTCACTGTCGAATAAGACCGCATCCCGGCCAGCATCAGCACCTCCCTTCACTGCATCCGCATCCGCCTCCGCTTGCGCATCCGCATCCGTGGTCGCGACCACATCCGCGACCGCAACCGCATCCGCATCTGCATCCGCATCCGCATCCATCGTCGCTCCAGCAGGCACCGCCGCATCAGCCTCGTCACGATCCCCGCGCCTCCGTTGTTGTCCGAGTCACCGGCGCGCCACTCTTCCACTTCGTCGTCAAAGCCAATCGGCCGATTCCACCATTCGTCGTCGTCGATGTCGCCAGCAAGTATTTCATCCCCCGATGCGCTGTCGTCGTGGCCGTTTTCCGGCCAACCCTCCTTGTCGTCGTCGCCATGGTCTTCTTCGCCGTCGTCCTCGTCACAGCTCGCACCTGAGGCGGCGGTAGAGCATCCCGCCTTGGATGCCGCTTTGCACGTATCCTTCGCCTTTGCTACACGGATGTCATCACCGGGCGGGTTGATTCGCCCGTAGTTGTTCCGCCGGCCGAGAGCAAAGGTTGAGCTAATCTCAACCTTCTTAAGCACAAACCAAAGCTCAAGCCCAAATACCCTCCCAGCCAGAGTGCCTTTTCCTGAGGCTGCCAAGCCGCTCCTCTACGAGGAATCTCCTCGTAGAGGACAGCACATGACAGCCCTCATGCTGTCATCGTGCTGCCAGCAGCGTTCTTGAAGCATCCATGTGCTGTTGGCAGCATCATTAGATGTTGCCAGCACGGAAGGATGTTGCAAGCACAGGCAGCTTTGCTGCATCTCTCACGTGGCATATGGTGGCGATGCATGCATCACCACCGAAGTTGGCCGAATTCAATGAATCTGGTCCCTGGGTGGTTTCTACACACTTTGCAAATGTTACAGACTTCATATAAAATTTTCCATTTATAAGACTTATAAGACACCCTAAACCGACCTCCACCACGTCGTTGTTGGTGGACTGCTCGGCGTCCGACTGCTCCTCTTCATCGTGGCTTCGCTGCCTTTACCAGCCTGCTGCACCAAAGTCGGCTGCGTGGTCGACTGCCCGGTCGCCGACAGCTCCCCCGTCGCCTTCACTGCCTGCTGCTCCCCTGCAGACGCTTCTGTGCCGCCTCCTCCAAATTCGGCTGCGTCTCCTCGACCCGATGCTCCGCTACCACCGTCAGCTTTTCTCCCATGCCGACTTGCTTGGCGTTACGTCGGCCGCTGTCGATGCTCTTGCTCATTTTGTTAATGGCAATGATTCTTAGTATCTTGGTCCCACTGCTGCGACTTTCCTCCCTCACACCCTCAAGTTTGTCCTTGACAGTGCTGCCACTGACTCTGTCTTTTGTGATGCTGGTGTTCTTCGTTCCTTACCCTTTCCCCTTTCCATTCATGGTGTTGGGGATACTACGACCATGACTTGCACTACCGCCTCCTCTCTTCCCTGTCCCGCTTCTCCATCCACCGATATGGTTGGCCTCCATTCTCCCTCTGCCCTTCAACGCCTTGGTGTGCGAGAAACCTTCCTTGCAGGTCAATCATGTTGTGACCTTCATCACCAGGAGCGCCATCTCGCTTGTTTCACCCTTTCTCCTTCCTCCCGCCTCTATACCTTACATGGTTCCCTCCTCTCTTTTGCCTATCACATCTCCTCTGTTTCCGCACCTCCTATCTCTACTTGTGCCTGTCGCTCTCTCACTCAGCATACCCTTCTACTCCATCATCGTCTTGGCCACCCCGATCCCCCCCCCCCCCCCCCCCCCTCTTGCGCAACATGGTCAATTCAAAGGACGCGTACAAAACGCTGCCGTTCCTTTGCCCGTTACCACGTAACTGTGTTCGCCACCTTGCGCAAAACTTTTACCAAACCATGGAGTGCTATACTTGGCCACATCGGCTTACGCTTCGGGAATAGCACGAGCCTCAGTGCCAACATCGCACTACCTAGCTCGCACACACTGCGTTACTGTTTTGCTTGTTTGTTATAAATGTCCGCTCATGTCTCCGCTCACATTTTGTACTCGTTTGGCCCATTAGCGCAATCCTCGCTCGCTTCATCATTCTGCAGTCGTAACATTATGCTGCAACTAGATATATCCGAGTGTCGTGTGCCACGACCATCTAAAAGATGAAAATGTCAAGTTTGTGGCTAAGGATTTTGTGCTCAGGCGGCATGCCCTTCAGCATGCGCACTGTGAACATAGCCATACGGATCCATGTCCAATGGTAAGTTGTTCCCCTCGTACGGACCCATGCCCTATAATTGTGTTCGTTGTTTTGCTGTTCAATGACGATTCTAGCATGTAAAAAAATATTCGCGACGGGGGAACCGTTGAGGTAGCTAATGGATCCATTATTGAACACATTCTCATCATTACGAAAGGAAATTCCTCCATAGCTATGTATGATGTTGTGTTTCCTAAATTATGGACTATTTTTGTTAGAAATTCTTGATAATGAGTTAAGACCGTTGCTGTTAATTCTTAGGCCGGAGAACTTCCAAGTGCATTCATTCAAAATCTCGTCAGGGTGGACAAAAAGCTGAGGTGGCTGAACAGTTGCATCGCTGGAACAGTGAACTTCACGACAAGGCACTTGACTTGGCTGGGGGGGATTCATTTGGGAGTCCCTGTGATCACGATCTGGCCAGTTAGCAACAATGAACACAATTCACTTAGCTGTCAGTCCCTCCCAACAATGAACACAATTCTTCTCAACATGCATTCACAGCCATGTGTCTCAACGGGTGTTCATCCGTCGCTCCCGTTTTGCCCGTGGGAACGACGGATCCGTCGCTCTCCCAGCGACGGATCGGCGGAACTGAAACCCCGCCAGCTGGGCCAATGAACACAATTCTTGACAACATGCATTCACAGCCGAACAACGAAACTCCTGTGGAGTGTTCTGGTCAGTGTGACCACACCTCGATCATCCAGGCTTCCAACCAAGCATTTCAATCTGGGAATTTGGAGGTCGGTCTATGACAATATAGTAGTAGCAGAGAGGCGAGGAAGAATCGCTTGGCCGATCAGACCGTGCGCTGATGATGACGCGCCACGGTGAACGCCGCGAGCGCGTGCCGCCGCGGCGCCGCGGCCGGCGCGTGCGGCATTCAGCAATTGCATGGTGGCTCGCCGTCCTTGCCCTGCTCATCGCGATGCCATCGTCACCAGTGGTGAACGCCGTGCCACTCGAGAGCACGCAAGGTGAGCGACTCATGGCGTCCAAGGCCCACGCGGTTTGCGGTAGTACTACTAATGCTGCTAGTTGCGTTCGGATTATGCGCTCCCACTCCGGACGCCGCCACTTACGGCCCGCGTGAACAATGAGCCCGAGCGATGGAACCGCGCGCGCCGGCATGCAGCCCGTTCAACGGGTTTACTGTTTGGCCCTCATACTATACTATAGTACGTATAGGTCTTTCTACATTGTAGAGGTATATTGAGTAAATTGAATGATATAAAAAAACCTATACGTACATAGTACGCGGCCCCAATGTTTTCGGAAGTTGCGCTAGTGCCTCCCCACTTTCCAAGCCAAGTTGCGCTAGTTGCGCTAGGACAGCGCCCGTTTCCCGCACCCTTATCCTTGGGACAGGTGTTACACATGTCCCCCCCTTCGTGCCTAACGTCCTCGCTGGTTCATAACTTAGGGAGTCGTCCCCGCAAGGACCTCACTTTTGTTCTCCCGCACAGCGACTTCGATGAGGGCTGAGGCCAGTGGAGGATCGTTCTCGCTGGGTTCGAGTCAGGTTAAGCACATTCGAGCTCGCTAGGAAATGTGGCCCAGCTGGGGTTCGAACCACAGGCTCTGATTCCATCATAACGTTTACCGCTACCCTTGGCCTCAGGAGCGCTTCGGATTCCCTTCGTGTAAGCCCCCAGGCGTTACATCCGGGTTAGGTCATCTAAGCCACGATTTGTGGTGACTGCGTGACTGGATATTGTACTGGAAACGTGTACCAACCCACGAGTACTATTCACAAGAGCTGCAAGCGCGGCGCTTACTCGCGGCAATACTGCTGCGGCTACAAACCTGGAAGGCGGAGGGGCGACGGGAGCGAATTCCTCACGGCAAGGGTGGGGACGAAGGAAAGGCGGCAACATGGACAAGACAAGGATGATCCCAACATTTGCCTCTGATCTACATGGTAGCTCTTGATATCCGTAGCATCACTACTCCATCAGACACGTCCCAATCCCCTCCTCAATCCCCATTTCCTTCATCCCCTCCCCCCCCACTTGCCGCCACGCGTTGCAGTGACATTCATGCAGGAGTGCCAGACGGCATGGGGGCAGACCTTCGCTGGGTGGAGTGGCGCGAGTCCAGAATGCACCACTGCCACCGGCCTCACCTGCGACGCCACCGGCATGATTCTGTCCTTGTGAGACGAATTGGAGTGAGGCACCGACTATGAGATGATGGTTGGCGATTCGGAGTGTGATGATGGTTATGAGATGATGGTGTGCGTGGCTGGCGTTCTGCGCCCTGCCTTACTTGAGCTCCGATGTTCACCATTTCGTGACATGTCATTTGTTGACTCACCGTTGTTGCCATTGTTTGACGCACCATGAAACAGGCAACTCCGCAACTACAAGCTGGCAGGGCAGATTCCAAGCTCGGTCAGCAACCTCAAGAAGATCATCTATCTGTACGTCCTCCTTAGAAGCAGCGTCCTTGCCTGATTCGATGGAATTCTTTCTGGGTGCTTGCATGCCAATTTGGCAGCATTATGGGCAACCGTTGGCATGTCAACATGACTGTTGCATGTCGAGGCCAGCGAATAGTGGGAATGACATTATTCATTCATATGACTGCTGGAGGGCACTGTGCCCGCGCAGCCTGACAAGGACAATTCAAAGGGGTGGGTAGTACAGGCGAGCCGGCCTGAGGGGTCGCGGTGCTAGGCAAGGCAGGCCTCGTGGCTTGAAGTTAACGACCGTACGCTTTCCTTTCTCTGGTTGGTTTAACCCCTGATTTCCTGATGTCCTTATTTTCTGCTGTGCTCATCCCCTCACAGCGATCTTGCAAGCAACCAGCTGCCAGGAAGCATCCCCGCAACCGTGACTGCACTAAGCCTGCTGAAATACTTGTGAGATGCGCACCACTTCAGGTCTTGCCGCGTCTGCTGTCTTCCCAATAGATGTTCACATGCATCGTCTGCTCTTAATCCCCTCCAGTCACCTAACTCGTCATTTTTTATCGTCACATGTGTCTTCATGCCACCTGGCACCTGCTGTGGTCCCCATGGGTCCCACCTGTCGGTGTACCCACCTCTTTGTGCAGGTGGCTGTTCAACAACACGCTCACTGGCCCAATCCCGGCTGACATTGGCGACATGACTAGCCTGATATCCCTGTGAGATTTCTGACTGCCGTGGTTGGTAGTCACACCGTGCTTGGTCGCACGTGAGGCTCCTCTTATCACATTCGATCTCAGTTGATCCTTATCCATTGCTGTCAAACATACGCCTGCCTGCCTGGTGCTTTTTTCACATTGCGTTTCTCCAACAGCCCTCTCTACACCAACATGCTGTCAGGATCCCTGCCCGCCTCAATCTCAAAACTCACTGCACTCACGTATCTGTAAGATGACTAACTGATCTCGTTGGAGCGAGTCCACTTACACCTGCTCTGAAGGCCCAGGAAAAAGCATCCCTCATGTTTTCCGAGAATCCTCACATGTCTCACTCTCGTCTTGGGTCGGTTGCTCTTTCACCTCATTCCTGCCGTGCACTCTTGCGTCATGAGCCTTTCTTGTAACATTTGTTTTCGTTTTAGTGTCACTAACACATGCCCCTAACCCTCTGTTAGTTCGCTAAGCTCTAGACTTTGATGAATCAAGTCATGCACCCGATCAACTGTCTCTTATGCATGTGATATGATCAACCAAGCAAGGTGCAGTCATGTCATCCATTTCCCTTCTACGGTTGACAATCCCACACAACGCAGCTTGCCTCCTTGCCTTGTCTGAATACGTTGGTCGGTCCTTGTGCACTCTAACCCACTCTGAACTGCCACCCTATTCCTACCTCGAGCCCTGGTTGCATCATTCTGTCATCCCGCTGTGTGCTGAGTTCCTGGGCGGCGGGCCTCAGCTGCAATGCAACATTGACAACAGCACCGCCACCATGCAGTGCCCTCCCAGACACATGGCATTGCTCGCTAGATGCTCTGCCCTTGCTCGTTCAACCGCTCACCCCCTGGCTCCGTCAATTGCACGCCCATTCTCGGACAGCTCTTTCGCTACCAACCAGCTCAGTGGGCCCATTCCTGCTGAGATTGGCTTGCTGACCAAGCTAGCAACTATGTAAGGGGACAGATTTCGTTCTTTTCCTGAAAATGGGTCGCGTTTTTTTGGTCACGACTCTCTGCATCTTTGTCTTATTTTGCCTTAGCGTACCATTTTGATACCATGTCGTGCCTGCTGTTTCGGTTTCCATTCTACTATTTTGATTGTTGCTCTTCTGCCAGCCATGCAATTCTCCTGCAGTTCGACCTTCCATTTTTTGAAAGCTTCCAGCTTTTTGTTTTGTTGTTTCCTCTGCGTTTTCACGTTCGTTCTCAGTGATCTCTCACTCAACCAGCTTTCAGGAAGCATCCCCGCCAGTGTCAGTGCTCTCACTCAAGCGACTCTCTTGTGAGTCCTTCCTACGCAAGTAAAGTGGTCAAGAAGGTAAGTGCCCTGCCATGCCATTGATGCATCCAAGCTTCTGTTGGAGCAAGGTGACTATACATGCAATGTGTGAAGCATTCAAACTCGTTCTGTTGATACCAGTAGCCCTTACCTTACAGGTTACAACACTTGTGAGACCGTTCAATTCGAGAGGGTCTGCTTGTGCAACACGAGCCACGTGTTCCCCTCACACCGGCCCCTGAAACAATGACCATCATGACTTTCCCGCCCACAATCCACATCCTGATTTGGGTTGCAGGTATCTCTACAACAATAAGCTCAATGGCTCCATCCCTGATGAAATTGGTGCCATGACCAAACTGGCAGCCCTGTAAGCAAGCACTCCCGCATCACCCTTGTCTCCTCTCCTCCACCCCCTCCCCTCTTGGCTGCATCCTCTCCATCTGATATCGTTACATTGCTCCTCCATCCATCCACCCATGCATGGCAATGCGTTTCCAATTGCCAGCTACCTTTCATTCCCCTCTGTTTCCTACCACCATTGTCAGCTCAACAGCCCCTGGAGGTGGCCTAAGAACGCCAAAGTGCCACGCCCATGGGTCCCATGCTCTCTCTGCTCCTCTAGTCTCCCCAAAAGTCACCACCTCTGCCCTTCCACCCGCCTCCACCAGCTCCCTCCGCCTCAACATGCTGTCAGGATCCATGCCTGCCTCCATAACAAAGCTCACTGCACTCACAAATTTGTAAGATGTCTTCGTGGAATCAATATTGTGCAATGCTCACAGATTATGTTATAATCTGACTTGATTGATACCAAAGCCAGTGACAACCTCCAAACAACAGCTCTTCCTGTATTTCCCCATCTCCCCCCCTCTTTGCAAGGTTAAAAAAAACGACCGTATTATTGAATTTTTACCGTAAAAAACGGTACCGTAAAAAACGGTCGTAAAAAACGGTTTAAAACGGTTCCAGGAGGTGTTTTTTGTTTGAAGAAAAAAATGGCTGATGCGTGGGACCAAATCAATGGCAAAAGGTACCAGGATGAAGAGGACGAACCCCTCCTTGCATGCGTGCGCTTGTGGGCATGATTGAAAATGTATACGACCTTGCTTTCCCCTTTTTTTTCTTGGTGACAACAGTTCTCTAACAAAAAAACGCCGTTTTTTTGGAAAATTACCGTAAAAAACGGACCGTAAAAAACGAAAACCGTAACTTTGAACCTTGCCTCTTTGTGCCATGGCTCGGCTGTCCTCCTTGGAAATCCCCCCTTTCCAGAGGGCTAAGTAACAATCAGCTCACCGGAACTATCCCTCCTGACATTGGCTTGCTCTCAAAGCTTATTTCTCTGTGAGATATATGTTTCCAAAGCTCATGTCCGCCCGTCCCTTCTCGCTATCACTTTAGATATGCTTCTGTTCAGGATGAAACCTGCAAGGTTTGAGTATAGAAAACAGCCGTGATGCATTAAGAAACTTGATTGTAATGAAAGATGTAGTTGCCAAGTATGATTCTACATAACAGTGGCAACTTCTCTTCGCTGCCAATCTCGCAAGGCCCTTCCTCGTTCATTCCAATAGACCATGTCTGCATACTCCTTTCTTCCGGTGCCTCCACCTTCCTCACCGCCATCAGCTCCCTCTACTCCAACATGTTGTCGGGATCCGTGCCCTCCTCCATCACACAGCTTACTGCACTCACTTACTTGTAACTTGACTGATGTCTCTAATGCAATGCACCTGCAAAGAAGGCGATGTCAACCATCACTACATGTATTCCTGTGCCAGAGGCCATTGCAGATGGTACTACTAGTGTGTGCCTTACAATGCCCTTTTCCAGTCAAAATTTATTGAACAGTTTGAACGACGCGAATCAGATCTGGTTGTCTGGATGACCTGCGCAATATAGGATCTCCCAAGGAACCAATGATGAAAGTGGTTTGCTTCTCAGCAGATGTTTTTTGCTTTAGTTTTGTTTGGTTGTTTGTTTGTTTGTTTCTTTGCTGCTGCTGCTGCTGCTGCTGCTGCTGTTGCTGTTGCTGCTGTTGCTTGTTTGTTTGTTTGTTTGTTTGTTTGTACCTTCCTAAACTAATAGAAACTTTCGGTTAGACTTCTGTTTAGGGATGTTGGTGTTAATTTCTCCAGTAACAACGGCTTTCACCTTGTACGTACCAACGTGTGCTGCCCTACATGCTAACTTCTACCCTCTCTCTAACTGTTGCCCCTCTCTATGCTATCTCCTTCCCACCCTCCTCCACCTCTTCCTTGCCTCTCTCACCCGAACAGTTCGCTCGCTAACAACCAGCTCACCGATTCCATCCCCAACATTGGCGTGTTCACAAACATGGTCACTATGTACGGATGTGGGAAAAATCACATTGCTGTTGATTTTGTTCTGCATTCTCCTCTTACTCCTCGCCATTCTCCTCTTCCTTCATATGTTCCGCTCCCCGTGCACCAGCCTGCCTTGACCTCCTAACTTGGTGTCCATCCCCTTCCACCGCTCTGTTGTGCTCTCGTGTAACTTGTCATCTGATGGTTTCTTCTTTCTTCTGTCAAGTGTGGCCAAGACCAACTTTTGCCTAAACTCTGTCTGCCCTTTGTTCTGCATCGTTTCTTCTGCTTTTGTTGCCTGTTTCACACATTGAATCGTATCATACATCCACTGCCTACCCACTTTGTGATGGCTCAAAATGCGACTGATGATTGTCTAGAACTTTGCCACTTGCTTTATGAACCTCCAGTGACCTTTCAGGCAATCAGCTTTCGGGCAGCGTCCCTGCCAGTGTCAGTGGGCTCACTCAACTCACTCTTCTGTGAGTCGCACTCAAGAGAGGTAAAGGGCTTCGCTCGAAGAGGTGATGTGCTGGGTCCGGCTCGACGAGCCAGGATCAACCCCGCTTAGCAGGTGGGCGATAAGGCGAGGCGAGGCAAGTAAAAATCTCGGCTCGTTTTTCCGAGTGTTTTTACTCGCCCGAGTCGAGTTTTGCGAGTAAAAAAATACTCTCTCGAGTTTTAATTCATTCTTTAGAGCGAGTGATTCTTTCCATTCCTTCTTGTGTTTTTACTCTTTCGAGTAACATTGTGTGAGTATATTCTGGGAAAGAAATGGGACACTAATGCGAGTGCGGGGCAGTATTCGCCCTCGTGGCCGTGTGGTGCAGTGAGTGCAATGCAGACGAGTGCTGACCAGGTGAAATGCGGTGCAGGTGGTGTGGTGCAGGCTGGTGTGTGCAGTCCAGCGCAGGTGAGTGGAGTGGATGTGGATACACTGAATAGAGTTTCAGCTGGTGTTGTCTCAAGGCTGGCCGTGTCTTGGTGGTGATTGTGGTTGGTTTATTGTGGAGTCTGTCACCTCATAATTGTTCAGAATGCAAGTATGGGGGCAGCGTAATACTAATAACTACGTGGGTAGCGTAAATCTATGTTGGAAAAGTCGCGCCCAGCGTATATACGCTTGCGTATAATACGGGATGTGCTTAATGGGTGACTCAGGAATACGTTAAAAATACGTTGCCCGGGCAGGTAAAACTTGTTTTTCCGGTCAGGAGGCACTAGGAACCTCACTAGACGCACTCGCGGGAGTGCCAGTGCCAATAGGGATCGTCATCGCAGAGCTGCGAGGTGATCGAGAGTTCTGCAGAAAGAGAGAAATGGACGAGGTGACGTTTAGGACGCGTCACAATTGCAACACCGGGGTAGATCGGCTCCAAACACCGAAAATGTGTGCATCGACTTGCGAAAAACGTGTTTCAATCTGCAGGAGCAGTGTCGGCTGCTTCCCCCCGAGCCAAGTGGGACACGACCAGATTTGCAAGTTGGGAATCTCCATGCCAGCTGTACACCCAGCTGCTAGCGCACGAGCCGTTTCGCTGGCGTGTCGTGCAATTTCGCATGGCTTGTAACGACGCGCACAATTTCGATTTCAGGTTGGATTCCGCGTCGCGCTCACACAGCGCAGATGTCGCCCACCGACAGTTTGTGATGTCGTCCAGTTACCACATCGAAAGTGTCCGACAGTATGCGACGGCGATCGATCGTGGCTGGAACTGGTGGCGCGATTTCGATTCCCACGCTGTCAATCGCACGATCGATGTGGCAGTCTGAGCTATCAGATCGCGACAATCTGCGTGTGCACGACCTTCGCAACAGGCTGAATGAAAACGGGATACATAGCTTTCACGAAATGGCGAAGACACTGTAGATTGTGCACACCGATATTTCACAGGATCGGTGTTGCAATTGTGACGCGTCCTTAGGGTTGGGAGGGACTTACCTTTTCGTCCTCGATGAGAGTTGAGGCAGGCTGGTTGGAGACATTCGTGTAGCTGAGCTGGAGTCGCGGGGTAACGGACGGTGCAATGCGGTTGATTTGAATGTCCCCTTGCCAAATTTGTGTGTTGGTGGGATCGACGAATTGTTCTGATGTGCGAACAATTTGACGTCGCATTTGCAAAATTCGTGTGCACAATGTGTGTCGCGAAGCATTTTCCAATTTCGTGCGCGAACTTTTTATTTTCCTTTTTTGGCCGGACAGCCCGGATTTTTCCGAACGAATACACGTGCGTATTGCGTACAGCGTATATTCGTCTACGTATATACGCTATACGCTTTCCCAGACTGGCGACTTTTCCAACTTAGGCGTAAATTATGGGATCAAAATAAATATAGCAAGAACTAAAGGGCGAGTCAAGTAATTCTTGCCTCGCCATGAGTATTGTTCCTCTTAAAAAGAGTAAAAAAAAACCTTTGAAAACTAGTAACGAGCCGGGCCCAGTGCGGAATCTACTTGTAACGAGTAATACAAATACTCGATTCGCATCGTTACTCAACTCGAATGTTGCCCATGTCTAACCCGGCTGAATGGGTGACCAACCTAAACCTCCGATCCCTTTTTCTGCGCATTGCTGACTCTGCCTCTCCTTGCATCTCATCTCCATGTTTCTCCATTCAGGTATCTCCATAACAATCAGCTCTCTGGCTCCATTCCTGCTGAGATTGGTTCCATGACCAAACTTGCATTCCTGTAAGCCCCTTTCCTCTCCACTGCTGATTGTGCCTTTTGGGGAAAAGTCTGCCCGGCTTTTGTGGGTGGGATGTTTGTGCGTCTCCTGCTGTTCCTCTCTGTTTGTAACCCTTTGCTTCTCCGCTGGTCATTTCTGTCACCTTTGGCCTTTGTGTGCAACCTCGTTCCTCCCTAATCGTGTATCCTTGTCTGGCTGTTCAAGCCTTTTCTGAGGCACACCTTCTCCACTACGAGCCATGTGCCACAGAACCAACGCTTTGCTATGCACTACCTTCGTCCACAAACTTCATCTTAAAGCCGTGCCTAGAGAGTGCCACACACTTGACTTCAGTTTGCCCTGAGTGAAGAACATTCGGCCCCCAGCTGTGATTCTGGTTGCTTGCAACCACTATCAGTATACTTCCTCACTCCACCTCTCTGCCCCTTGTCTCTGGCTCGGTCTGATGGCTCGTCGTGCCTATCCCCAGGGCACTCGGGAACAATTCAATCAATGGCGTTGTCCCTGCTGCCATTGGCTCCCTCACAAGATTGGTGTCCCTGTAAGGCCCTTTTGTGTTCCCTCTCTTCTCAACTGATCTTGTCTTGCCACCTCTCCTCTCCCTTTCCTTCTCTACGCTTCATTCCCACTTTTTTCATCTCCGTTGCCCATTTTACCATTCTTAATCATTGTCGTTGCCTTGTTCCTTGGATTGTTTTGTCCTCTCTCCACTGTACCCATTACCGTTAAGGACCGAATCTAGCCCTTTTTGTTCAGGCAACTCGATTTTGTTTGTAATGGGCCGAGTTCTTCACGACCTGTTTTGACCCGCAAGCATTGCGTGCACCGGTTCAGTTCCACATGTGGCATTGCATGACTTCTTTCTTGAGATGCTAATATGTGCTTGCATTTCGTTGAATGCACTCTACCATTTCTCTTTTGCATCACAAGTTGATGGGCTCGTTGGTTCCTCCTCTCTATCTAGCCCCAACCAAACGCTTTTGAGGAATCTTGATTCCTTCTTTTGACACGAGGCCCTTCTCGTTCCTTTTGTGCTTGCCCACCATGATAGCCCAACCTTGTTATTTCTGCTGTATTAGCCAACCCCACCTCATCTCTACAAGCAATCTAACATCTTATTAGGAGCATTCACCTCATACGCCTAGTCCCTGCGAAAATTGGCCCACTGCCATAATGCCATCCCTCTCATCTCGTCTACACTCTCTCTTATCTCCACTTGCTCGCCTCCTTTCCCTCCACTTCTCTTTCGTGCCTATCTTTGCATGCCCTTCCTCGTTAGTTCCCACAACTGCCTATACTCCTGCATCCTAACAAGTGGACTCGCTCTCATTCCTTCCCGTACCTCCACCTCCCACACCGCTATCAGCTCCCTCTACATCAACAAGTTGTCGGGATCCGTGCCCCCCTCGATTACACAACTCACTGCGCTCACTTACTTGTAACTTGGATTTACCTACCTAAATGTCCCTCCTGATGGATCGATTAAGAAGGTTCTTATCACTTTCCTCTTTTTTTTTTTTTTTTTTTTTTTCTCTCTCTCTTTGGCAAATGCTGATGCAGATGGTACTATTTGTTGAAAATGACAATTCTATATTGTTTGAAAATATAAGACACTAAACTGCTCTATGTCGTGGACTATTTCGGTTCGACCCTACTAGTGAAACTAGTCGCCGATCGAACTAGCCAATTCGCTCATGGAAGTGCCGCACCACTTCCGCAAACGCATTCGTGGCCCGATCCAGGGCAGGATCCTGCCCGCGACCATTGCCGCCACGCCCTCCGCCATTCCGCCGGCCACGTCGGCCCCCGGAGCCAGCCGAGCGCGGACGCGGGGGGGACTGCTCGCGGCGGCCCGAATCCCAGCGATGACCAGGCGACCCCCTCCCCCGCGTCGCCGGAGATCGCCGGCCTACCTGCAGCGCTTCTAGTCCATCCGGGGGCGGCGTGGCCTCCGCAGCTGCAAGGCGCCGTGGTAGGGCCGAGGGTGAGTCCGCGTCTGCGTCCATCAACGGCAGCATATGGGCAATGGCGGGGTGGACCCTGTCGCCGAACGAGAGGAGCAGATGGGCAGAGGAAATGACCGAGGCCAGGTACGCAAACGCCCCTTCCGTTGCTGGGTTGGTGATGCCTAGGCCACCCAGTGTCACGGGCAGCGCTGCTTGCCGCCAGATTCTCCCCCGCTCCGCCTCTTCCCTCGGTATCGCCGTGTGTGCAGCTGTCAGGTAAGAGTGCAGCAGCTGTTCCCCCCACGCTGACCATGTGTCCTCTGGCAGCACGTCTAAGGGCGTTGTCCTAACGAGGTTGGAGGCACGGCGGCTAACACACCGCGTGAGGAGGAGCAGGCACAGCTGCGGGTCCATTTGTGAGAGGAGCGGTAGGGGCTCTGCTGCTGCCGAGAGGCGCTCCTGAACCATCGCCGCGCATCCTGACTGAGGCCCGATTGGGCTCCCCAGGACGCGGATCCCGTCGGCCGCGAAAGGGACGTGCTGAGGCAGAGAGGCGGGGTCGACGTGCGCAGCCGACCACGCTGCGCACTTCTCGGGGTTGTGCTTCAGTCCCAGGGAGAGCAGGGCACTGGTGAGGTGGGTGAACGCCTCCGTGCACGCCTCTGGATCTCCCAAGAGCGTAATGTCGTCCGCGTATGCGAGGATGACGACTCCTGGGTGTGCCGCCGCCGCGGCTACCAAGCAGGGGTGAATGCTGGCGGCAAAGAGGAGGGGTCCCAGCGGATCCCCTTGGCGGACGCCCCGCGCCGACTGCAGGGGGGGAGCGTGGAACGCATGGTCGAGGCACAGTGCCGAGGGGACACTGTAGGTCAGCCGCACCAGGGGCACCATGAATTCTAGGGAGGTCCCCTTGAGGCCGTCAAACCGCTCCTCGCTCGACCGCGCTGAAGGCATTCGCCTGGTCGATTTGCAGCGCCACCGCCCCTTCATTCTCCTCCAGGTAGGTGCGCGCGGTGTGCACTGCCGCCTCGATGCCTCCCGCTACCGCCACACCGAATTGCAGCGGCGCGAAATGTTCACGTGCTTTCTCAGCCGCCAAGAACAAAGCCGCTTTTGCAACTAACCGGAGCAGGCATTCGCCCACTGCCATTGGCCGTGTGCCTCCGTGGGGCTTCCTGAATGCAAGTAAGCGTGACGCTGTGAGGAGTTCTGCTGCTTCCGCGCTAAGTTTCCCAGCTAGCGCGGTGTTTGTAAGTGCGTGCAGCTGGAGGAAGATGTCCGTGTTCCCTTAGGCTGCGTCCCTCAGGTGTTCGAATGTGGTGCCTGAGGGGCCAGCGCCTACTCCATTCGGGCATTTGGCTAGGATGCGTCTGAAGTCGCGTGGAGGGATTGATGGGGTGTTGTCTGTGGTGAAATCCCGCACCCAATCAGGGATTGCTTGACGCGCGGGGGGGTGTCTAGCTGAGAGAGCCTGGAGCACGTCCGTGGAAGGGGGGGAGACTGGCGTGGCTGTGAGGGATTGGAGGGATTTTGCTAGATTTCCCCGTTTGGCTAGTCCCTCCGCCCTTGCCAGGATGCCGATGGTGTCTGGCGCATGTCGGGGCTGGGGCGGTTGGGAGACTGCATCAGCCGCCTCGTCATACAGGCTCCGCCAAAGACCCTGGCGGAACCGGGTTAGCCTGGCGCCAACCTTCGGCCAATCTGGGCGCTTGGCTGACGAGGTGCGCAGGAGGATGCGCGGGAGGAACATAAGCAATCGCCAGCCCGCAGGTGAGTCAGGGTCTTTCGCGAGGTGTAGCAGCGGGGTGAGGAGGCAAGCTGCGAAGGAGTCGTGAAGGGTGCGAGGTGGGTGGCGGGCGAGTGGTGGTTGCCTACTGTCGCGTAGGGGGTCAAGGTCCCATGTTGCGACGTCGGCGAAAAGGTCCTGGCGTGTTGCCAGGTCGTCTGCACTGAACAGTGGCAGGCGGGTGGGTGCATCTGCACCCTACTGATTGGCTCGAGTTGGAGTGCCATCTGCATTTTGTGCGGCTCGATTTCCCCCCCCCGACTCGACTCTGTCTCCCATTTCGAATTGCAGACGCGACTCGGCTTGGTGTTGGATTTTTCTCCGCATCTTGAGTTTGCTCTACCTCTTCCACCTCGGGGGATGGACTCGAACTCCCCTCTCTTTCAGGGTTAAATAGAGGGTCACCCACAGAGTTCTCGTCACTCGACTCTTCCCCCTCTGTAGCCCTCTCCCGCAGGATCCTATGAGCAGCCCTCGCGAAGCTACTAACACCTCGTCGTTGAACCGTGGCGCCTCCTCTACGTCCCTCTCGTCTCCCTCCTCTCCCTACACGGATTCCTCGCCGCGCGGAACCCGTCGCTGCGTCGTTGCGTGTCGGTTGTGGCGCTGAGGCAGATCCAAGGCCCCTCCTTCGACGGCCTGCTGGCGTCCGCGGCTTTGCGTTCGGGCGTAATGGACCCCTCCGCGGGTCGCGACCGTGCGCAGGAGAGTACGGCGGATACCGCGCGGATTGACGGGCCCCAGGCTCAGGTGCCTGCTGCACCTCGTCCCCATGTGTCCGCACGCCCATCAACGTCTGAGCCCGTGCGGCGCTTGGAGCGCGGGCTGTCCCTTCCTCATCGTCAGGGGGGTGCGCGACCGACCTCTCCTGAGTATTCTTGGGTGCCGGCCCGCGTTGCGTCGAATTGTCCAGCTGGCCTGCCGCCTCATGAGCGTGGACGATCGCCGCAGCGCCAGCCCCCGCAGCAGCATACTCCTCGGCGTCGCTCCCTGGATAAACGCGAGCCTCACCGCCACGGGGCTGGCGATCAGCTGTCTCCCGCGAGCCCCCACTCTCCTCGCCACCGATCCCCCCGAGGTCGGGCAGCCCAGCTCTCACTGCGAGCGCGATCCCCCACGCAGCGCTCTTCGCGTCGATCTCCGGCGAGGCGGGGGAGGGGGTCACCTGGGCGTCGCTGGGATTCTGGGCGCGGCGAGCAGTCCCCTCCGCGTCCGCACTCTGCTGGCTCTGGTGGCCGACGGGGTCGGCGGAATGGAGCAGGTCGAGGCGGGAGCGGTCGCGGGCAGGATGCTGCAGTCGATCAGGCCGTGAACGCGTTTGCAGCGGCGGTGCGCCAGGCGCGGGCGGGTGGGGAGCCGACTCATGTCCACATCGCAGTAACCAACGGGCCTCCTCACGCCCAGGCCCCTGACCTCGCGGCTCCTCTGCGCGCGCCGACATTGGGCGTGTATCTGCCTGCGCGGGAGGGAAGGGCGCTGTTCCGCACCCCTCCACAGGTCCTTGGCTTCCCTGCGCAGCACTTCTCGGTCGGCCGAGCCCCGAGCCGGGTGGCGGTGTATCCGCGCAAAGCTCCGATTGTACCTCCCCCCACTCTCGCGGGGAGAGACCCCATGCTGACCATGTGCCGGGTGTTGAGTCTTGCGAAGGCGTGCGAGGTGGTGGCGAGTCTGCAGATGGCGGTGTGTGGGGCCATGCGGAACTCTCCGAGCAGTTTTGCTCCAGGTCCCCGAGGATCGTGCGTGTCTTGGGCAGAAGCTCTCGCTCCGATTTTGGCACCCTTGTCGGAAGCGCCCTTAGCGCGTACCTTCCCCCGCCACGTGGCGGATCTTGTTGAGGCAGCCCGTGACGGAGCACCGGCGCACAGGCTTCAGTCGTCCGCGCAGCTCCTTCTCGCGGTATCGGCGTGCATGCGTTCGATGCTTGAGGTGGAAGGGGCGGAGCCGTACACGATGTAGGCTTCCGCCGCGTGTAGTGTTGCATGCCGTTCCTCTAGGTAGATCCCCACTCCCTCGTTTGTTTGTGTGCGTGTGCCCCTTTAAGGCGTTGCCGTCGCTTGAATTCCTTGCCAACAGGAGCGCGCGGCCGAAGGCCGCCGACGCGAGCCGCAGAAAATGAACTCGCCACGAAATAATGAAGAGAAACAAGCTCAAACAGCCATTAAATAGCTTGGGAGGGCAGAGGGCAGAGGGATGAGGCAGAGGGCAGAGGGCTAAGGGATCCTCTCTCTCTCTCCCTCTCTCTCTCTCTCTCTCTCTCTAATGGTCCTTGCATTAATAGGGGGGGGTTGTACAAGGGAAGTTGCAGACCCAAGCAAACACAAGCAAACAGACAGCCCAACCAGTAACCTACCGCCTACTCAAACCTCCTACCCTCCCCCGCCCCCCTCAGTCCGACCCTAGTGGTCGGACGGGGGCTCGATCAGCTGGTGCAGCTGCCCCTCGTTGAGAGGGGCCCACGGCCCTTGCAGGCTGAGCTCGTCCGCCTCCAGGGCCTCGTTGGTCTTGGTGCGGAGGGCGTTCGCCTGCGCCCTCTGGAGGCACACGCTCCAGCGCTGGCGGTACTCCGTCAGCAGTTTGGCAGCCTCTCGAGAGGTAGGTGCCGCGTTGTAGCGGAGCTTTGCGGCCAGCTCCGCGCACTGCCGAAGGTACGCCAGCACCCCCTGTGACGGGTAGCCGTAGGTCTCCACGGCCAAGGTGTGGAACCCCACCCACGCGTTCCGCCCCGCATACTTCTCCTCCTTCCGTGCAGCTGCCGCCCTAGCCGCCCAGCCAGGTGCGCGGTTGCAGTTTTCGTCCTGGTAGGACACCGGGTCGGTCACGGTCACATCGCAAAGCCAAACTTCTCCGGTCAAGGGATGGCGGATGGAAACATCCGCTTTAAGGTTTTCAACCAGAGAATAGGCGTAGGTCTCCTTGTGAACCGTGAAGCCTGCTTCCGCCCCTATCCTTGCGATTTCATCCTTGAGAGCATGGTGTGTGGCAGTCCTCCCCTTCCCCTTCTCGCAGCGCATTAGGTGGTTCAGGAGGCGGTCATCAGGGAAGGCGGTGCGGTATCGGCAGTCGCACCGCCTCGGGACAGGGAGGGGGAGGCCAAGGCGGAAGGCGGATGCAGTAGAGTGTTGGGAGGGGCCCAGTCTTAGCGCAGAGGAGAGGGGGATTGCCAGCAGCCAGTCCCCTGCTCCCGGGCCCAGCAGGGAATCGGCTAGCGAGTGCAGGAGGTGGGCCGTGCCGAACACCGACGCGAGGTACGCGTAACTCCCTTCCACGGCCGGGCCGGTGATGCCCAAACCCCCCAAGGTAACGGGGAGCGCGGCCTGTCGCCAGATACGTCTCCGTTCCGCGTTGCTCCTTGGCGCGACAATGTGGGCGGCGTCTAGGAACACGTGGAGGAGCCGCTCCCCCCAAGCTGACCATTCTGCTGCGGGCAGGACCTCTTGCGGGGTTGTCCGTGCCAGGAAGGAGGCGCGGCGGCTGACGCAGCGTGTGAGGAGGAGGAGGCAGAGCTGCGGGTCCATTTGCGCCAATAGCGGAAGTGGTTCAGCTGCTGTCGAGAGTCTCTGCCTGACTGCCGCGGCGCAGCCTTGTGTTGTGCGGACGGGGCTGCCGAGGACTTGCAGCCCGTCATCGGAGATGGTGATGCCGGGAGGGACGGAAGCAGGGTCGATTGGGGCGGCGGACCAAGCCGCGCACTTAGCAGGGTTGTGGAGGAGTCCCATGGAGGCGAGCGCGGCTGTGAGGTGGTCAAATGCCGCGGCGCAGGCAGACGCATCACCAAGCAGCGTGATGTCGTCGGCATAGGCGAGTAGGACCACCTGTGGGTGAGCCGCAGCCGTCGCAACGAGGCAGGGGTGGATGCTGGCGGCGAATAGAAGGGAGCCGAGGGGATCTCCTTGGCGAACCCCCCTGGCGCTTTGCAGTGGAGCCGCTGCGAACTCATGGTCGAGGAAGAGTGAGGAGGGGACTCCGTAGAATAAGTGGACCAGGGGGATGAGGCTCTCGAGCGCTTCGTTCCTCAACCCATCGAACACCGCTCTCCTCTCGACCGCGTTGAACGCGTTCGCGAGGTCGATCTGCAGCGCTACTGCCGCGGGATGGGTCTCCAGGTAAGTACGTGCCGTGTGTATAGCGGCCTCAATGCCCCCTGCTACTGCCACACCGAACTGAAGGGGGACGAAGTGAGATCTAGCGGCTGGCGCAATCAGGAAAAGAGCAGCTTTGGCGATGATCCGTAGTAGGCATTCCCCAACCGCAATCGGTCTCGTCCCGCCGTGCGGTTTTGAGAAGGCCAAAAGGCGAGAGGCGGTAAGTAGCTCTCCCGCAGCGGCCGGCAGCCTCCCCGCTAGAGCCGTGTTGGTGAGGGCAAGGAGGTGGGTGAAGACTTCGGCGTTTCCTAAGGCTGCATCACGGAGATGTTCGAAAGTAGTTCCTGAGGGGCCCGCTCCTACCCCATTGGGGAGCTTGGCGATAATCCTTCTAAAGTCGCGGGCTTCAATAGCGGGAGGGCTTTCCGCTGTGGCAGCGTGCAGCCAATCAGGTAGCAGTTGGGATGCAGGTGGGTGTCTCATCTTGAGGGCCTCGAGGACTTCAGGTGAGGCAGGCGACACGGGCGTGGCTTGCAGGGTTTGCAACGATTTGGAGAGGTTACCACGCTTCGCCAGGCCCTCCGCTCTGGCGAGAGTCCCAGTTGTGTCAGGTGCGTGGCGAGGCTGCGGGGGGAGGGAGATCGCTTCGGCAGCTTCTTCGTAGAGGCTGGCCCAGAGCCCTTGGCGAAATCGCAGGAGCCTGTTCATCATTGCGCTCCAGCCAGGCTTACGGGCTGACGAGGAGCGAAGGAGTAAACGCGGGAGGAAGTTGAGTAACATCCAGCCTGGTTCTGACTCTGGGTTGGCTGCCAGGTGGAGTAGTGGTGTCAGCAGACAAATCGCGAAAGACTCGCGAAGGTCTTTTGGAGGGTGGCGAGTGAGTGGGGGCTGGCGACTGTCGCGCAGCGGGCCAATGTCCCAGCCAGCGACCTGGGCGAACAGGTCAGTATTTTTCGCCAGGTCATCGGGTTTGAGCATTGGGGGGGTTGAAATTGGGGCTGCCGAATTCTCATTGGCTGTCGCAGATTCAACTCCGATCTCTGTCGCGGCTCGATTTCCCCTTCTTGCTCGATTTCCCCCCGCGGCTCGGTTCTGAACGGTGGTTCGGTTGGCAGGGTCGCCTCGGACAATTGGTCTGTGGAGCTCCCCATCCCGAAGCAGAAGTTCCAACTCCTCCTCATCCTCCTCGGCTTCCGCTCCTAAGAACCCCTCTCTTTCTGGGTTAAAAGCAGGGTCACCCTCATCATTTTCCTCATTCTCTGCTTCCTCGTCTGCCTCCTCGCTAAGCGGATCCTCGCCGCCCTCCGCGCCGTTTCGCATCAGCCTTTCCGCATTTCTCGTGTAGCCGCTTGCACCGGTGCGGCGCCTGTTTGAACCCCGTGTTCCGCCACCTCTTCGTCCTCTCTCGATTCCCCGTCGTCCGCGGCGGCTGCCGCGTCCCATGCGGATTCCGCGCGTGGCTCTTCCTACTGCAGCTCGCTCACGCCCTGTTTGCGGCGCCGCGACCGCCTCGTTTTCGCTACGTCGGCGCGCTGGCGTCGGCGGCCGTGCGATTAGGGGTGATCGTCCCATCCGCGCGACGGGATCCAAAGCTGGAGGGTTCCGCAGAGAGCGCGCTGCCGGAGCCTGCACCAGCCTGGCCTCGTCCGCGTATTCTCGCGCACCCCTCAGCAAGCGAGCCTGTCCGCCGCTTCGAGCGGGTGCTGACTCTTCCCCATCGGCCTGCTGCGCGCCCCACCTTGCCGGAGTATTCGTGGGCCCCTGCACGTGTTGCGTCGAACCGCCCAGACGGACAGCCGCGGCAGGAGCGCGGGCGCTCGCCTCCGCGTCAGGCTCCTCGCCAGCCCTCTCCTCGCCGGCCTTCTCCTGAGCAACGCGAACCCCATCAGCACAGGGAGGGCGGTGAGCGGTCCCCTGCGCGTCCTCGTTCTCCACGCCATCCATCTCCTCGTGGTCGGGCAAGCCCGCGCTCACCCCGAGCGCGATCCCCCGCGCAACGCTCTCCGCGGCGATCACCGGCGACGCGGGGGAGGGGGTCGCCTGGGCGTCGGTGGGACACGGGTCGTCGCGAGCAATCCCCTCCGCGTCCGCATTCGGCTGGATCTGGAGGCCGGCGGGGCCGGCGGAACGGCGGTGGGCGTGGCGGAAACGCTCACGGGCAGGATCCCGCCCTGGATCGAGCCACGAGTGCGTTTGCGGAGGTTGTGCGCCAGGCGCGGGCGAGTGGCGAGCCAACTCATGTACACATTGAGGTGACCAACGGCCCTCCCATCGCCGCGGACCCTGGTTAGGTGGCTCCCCTGCGCGCGCCGACGTTGCGCGAGTATCTGCCCGCGCGGGAGGGGCGGCCTCAGTTCCGCACCCCTCGTCAAGTCCCGGGCTTCTCCGCGCAGCGCCTCTCTGGTGGCCGGATTCCTGGCTGGCCGACGGAGTTTCCTCGCGAAGCGCCGACTGCACATCTCCCCAGTCACGCGGGGAGAGATTCCATGCTGGCCATGTGCAGGATTCTGAATGTGGCGGAGGCGTGCGAGGTGGTGGCGAACTTGCAGCTGGCGGTGTGTGCGGCCACGCGGAACTTTCCGAGCAGTTACGGTCCAGGGTCCCAAGGATCCTGCGTGTCTTTGGCAGAATCGCTCGAGTCGCCGTTGGCACCCGTGTCGGAAGCGCCCGCCGGGGTAGCGCCCTTAGCGCGTACCTTCCCCCGCCACGTGGGGGATCTTGTAGAGGCTGCTCGGGTTGGTACCCCCGTGGGCACGCTTCAGTCGTCGGCGCATCTCCTTCTTGCAATGTCGGCGTGCATGCGCTCGATGCTGGAGATGGAGGGAGCGGAGCCGTACATGATGTAGGCTTCCGCCGTGTGTAGAATTGCATCCC